GTAGCCAGTTCCAGCCCCACTTGGACCATAGCCAGTTCCAGCCCCACCTGGTCCAACACCACTTGGACCATAGCCTGTTCCAACCCCACCTGGTCCAACCCCACCTGGACCATAGCCAGTTCCAGCTCCACTTGGACCATAGCCAGTTCCAGCATCACCTGGTCTGACTCCACCTGGCCCATAGCCAGTCCCAGCACCACCTGGTCCATATCCAGTTCCAGCCCCGTTTGGACCATAGCCAGCTCCGGCCCCACCTTGTCCTGTTCCACCTGGTCCTAATCCTGGACCTCCAAGCACTCCACTCAACATTCCTACAAGGAACAGAAAATGTTTTATTTTAGCTCTATTGTTTTTCAATTACAGATAAACTATAAAGGTGCAGTAGCTGATCTGATGGTTTTTACCATATTTACGTGCTTTGGCGTTGATGTCGTACCCTGAAAAACACAAACAGTAGGTTTTTATTTACAAGAACACGAATGTCTGTGTGCGCACAGATATAACTGATTTTGTACATCACAGTTAAATTACAGTAAGTTTTGCATTAAACTGTAATGTCTAAAGTTTTCTCGAAAAAAAAAAAAAATTATTACCACCAGGTCCTGTTTCTGGTCTTCCTGTTCCAGTACTGCCTGGACCATAGACTAGACCACCTGGGCCAGTGCCAGTTGCAGCACCACCCGGGCCGAAATTAATCCCTGAGCCAGGTCCCATTCCTGTACCAAGACTCCCAACTGAACCAGTGTTTGCACCACCTGGACCAAAACCACCACCTGCCCCAAATGTCCCAATACCAGAGGCTGGCCCAACTCCTGTGCTGAGACCATTTCCAGCTCCTCCAGGGCCTATAATCCCTGGAAAGATTAAAGGTATTTTCATTAGGTTAATAAATTTACACTCACATACTCTTAGCTTTATTCCATTGTTCTTCACATTGTATCTCACCATATTTGCGTGCTTTGGCTGAGCCGGGACCATAACCTATGTGATAAAACAATGTCATGGTATTAAAATATAATAAAAAGTTAAATGTATTTTTGCAAAAGAATACTCCAGGAACTGCAAGTTACAATAAAAAAATGAAAAAAAAAAAAAAAAAAAATAAGAAGAACTGCTAGTCTTCTCTTAAAAGAGCTTTTAAAAACAGTAATTTACCTATTCCAGGTCCCACTCCTGTTCCAATGCCACCTCCAAATCCAGGTCCCACTCCTGTACCAACACCACCCCCTATGCCAGGTCCCACTCCTGTACCAATACCACCCCCTAGACCAGGTCCCACTCCTGTACCAATACCACCCCCTACACCAGGTCCCACTCCTGTACCGACACCCCCTACACCAGGTCTCACTCCTGTACCAAATCCAGGTCCCACTCCTGTACCAACACCACCCCCTACGCCAGGTCCCACTCCTGCACCAAATCCAGGTCCCACTCCTGTACCAAATCCAGGTCCCAATCCTGTACCAACCCCCCCTACACCAGGTCCCACTCCTGCACCAAATCCAGGTCTCACTCCTGTACCAATACCACCCCCTACACCAGATCCCACTCCTGAACCAACCCCCACTACACCAGGTCCCATTCCTGTGCCAACACCCCCTCCTACTCCAGATCCCACTCCTGCACCAAATCCAGGTCCCACTCCTGTACCAACACCCCCTCCTAATCCAGGTGTAGCTCCCCCTACCCCTCCAGGAAGTGTTCCAGCTCCACCCCCTAAGGTGCCTCCTTGACCAATGGTGCCTCTTCCAGTCCCACCTGAAGAGAAAAGAAAAACACAACAATGGAAGCTCAGTATTGATCAGTTGGATGATGGTAATCGATCATGCAAGTCTTTATTTTTTAAACAACACAATGATTTTATTTAGTCTCTTACCATATTTAGCTGCTACTTTGGCAAGTTTTTTGGATTTTCCTGCTCCTGAATTTGAAAGATAAAGTACACGTTTATTCAACACATTTACACACATTTGTCACAGTCAGCTGATAACAGATGCAGTGTTTGGAGGAATATTGATATGTGTACCTGTTTTAGGTGAAATGAGAGGATAACCCCGAAAAACGCCAGGCAGCTGTTGTCCACGACCATCTATTACAGGAAGTACAGGTTACTCAGTGCTTAGATAATTCACAGAATCTCATCTTGGAGTAAAACATATTGTTGAATAATTGTTTAATATCAGAAATAAAGTTATAAATGACATATCTGATGACAAACTTGCTTTGAACTTTGAGAGACTTACTGACTGCTGTTCCTGGTCCTGTTCCACTTTGACCGAGTACCCCAGTCCCTGTAAAAATAATGCAGTGTTTATTGTTTTTAATCCCAGTTACCATTTTTCAACATAGAAAATGTTTAAATACCAGTTTGAGGCCCAAGTCCAGATCCTGTTGCCACTCCAGGGAGAACACCACGGCCTCCAAAACCTGACCAGAAGAAATTAAAAGACAAGTTACTCGGTGAGCGCATCACATTTTTTACTGTGATATATATATATTTTTATACAGTATGCTATGTGTTGGTCATATTGTTACATCTTACCTTGACCTGGTACAAATCCACCTTGATAGAGTCCAGGTACCCCAATACCTGTGTGACCCAGGGCTCATTAGAAATAAAGTCAGTGTTCATGGATGTTCATAAAATATAAACTGAAGCGATTCTAGACTACCTTTAAGTTAAAACTGTCTGTGATCTTAAGAAGTTTACCTGGAACTTGTTTTGATGCTTTACCACCACTTTTTCCTCCACCTGTTGTACCAGTCTGAGGCAGCACTGGAGCTGAAACAGAGATTAAAACACAACTTTGATGGACAAAACTGTCTAACCTCAAAAGAAAACTTGTAGCTGAGTATAGGTTTTGTTTGTTTGTTTAATTTTTTTTTTTTTACTTGAGAAGTTAACAAAAAACTTGACTCCATCCAAACTTTCACAGTGTTCAACAGAAATGCAGTTAACAAACACAACCTACTGTTTGCAGTTTTATTTTTAATGCATTTGCTTGGAAATGTAATGATTTAAGAACTAAATGTTCTGATGTGTTGCATTAAAGACATACATACAGTAACAAGACAACATAACACATATATATTGTATACACAATAGTTTCTTATAAAATATATTTACCACCTCCACCTGGAACAGCTCCTCCAGGACTGACTCCTGCTCCTCCAGGTCCAAATCCTGCACCACCAGGACCCAATCCTGTTCCCCCGGGACCAAATCCTGCACCGCCTGGCCCAATCCCAGTTCCACCAGGAACAAAACCTGTTCCCCCAGGCACAACCCCAGTTCCACCAGGTCCAACTCCAGCACCGCCAGGACCAGCCCCAGTACCACCAGGACCAAATCCTGTACCCCCTGGACCAATCCCCGAACCACCTGGCCCAACCCCTGTACCACCAGGGCCAAAACTTGTTCCCCCAGGCACAACCCCACTTCCACCAGGTCCAACTCCTGCCCCGCCAGGTCTAAACCAAGTACCACCAGGGCCATAGCCTGTGCCTCCAAGCGATGTTCCAACGCCGCCTAAGATAAGAAAAAGTTAATCTCAGCCAAATGTCAGTATAAAAAGCGTGTAGATTTGATTAATAAACAAATGTACCTGTTTTGGGGGGTTTGGGTCCATAACCACCTCCATATGCTCCGTAGCCACCTAATAGTAAGACATGGTATTCAACTTCTTTAAGAAAACAACATAACTTATATTTGTTTATGTAACCCACACATACAGGTATTATAATAACCCACACACTATAATGTACTGTTTTTGTTTCATTTTTAATATCATTTATTTAATTTAATATTCATTTTATATGCTTTTATGACTGTTATTGTTGTCTGAACCTCGTTTGTGTTCTTTGTTTAAAACAGGTCTTTTTTGTAAATGAGTCCTCGCGACTCAATGAGACTAACCTGTATAAATAAAGGTGGAATGGATGAAAACGTAGTGAGATGAACACTGCAAGAGTAATTTTTGATCCTCGGCGGCACCTGTAGTGCGCAGGTCCAAACCACTCCTTGTGAGTGTGTTGGAGTGCGGGAAGTTGGAAAAAAAAAAAAAAAAAGAGCACAGAAAAAGAAAGCCGTGCCATGTGAGCAGTGACTGAGAGACTACGGAGCCCGGAGGGAACGTGGGGGGATTTTTTTTAACTTTTGCGTTCCCTCGCAAAAGTTTTTGTGTTCTCTCACAATACTGTACTGCATGTAGTGTTACCTCACAGACAACAAACGTTCCTCCCTCATAGAAACTGGTCCAGATGACATGATTTAATGGAGTTTTGTTTTGAAATCAGCTTTAAATTTAAGTGTATATATCCAGTGTGTGCTGCAGTAGTAAAATTAGTTTTACGTTGGATATTTCACGTTCATGCACCGTGGATTCAGGGCTTCCTCGTTCAAGCCGACGCAGGCAGGCAGTCTGATTTCCTTCAGCTGCTCTCAGTCTGTCCCTCCTCCGAGGAGAGATGGTTCTCTTAGGGACCGTCAACAAATTACCGGGCTAATGAGCTTGGTCTGAACACTGTTATACTATCCATCCATTATCTTCCGCTTATTCCGAAGTCGGGTCGCGGGGCAGCAGCTTGAGCAGGGAGGCCCAGACATCTCTTTCCACAGCCATCTCTTCCAGCTCTTCTGGGATGATTCCAAGGCGTTCCGAGGCCAACCGAGAGACATAGTCTCTCCAGCGTGTCCTGGGTCTCCTCCCAGTTGGACATGCCCGAAGCACCTCCCTAGGGAGGCGCCCAGGGGGCATCCTTACCAGTTGCCCGAACCACCTCAACTGGCTCCTCTCGACGTGAAGGAGTAGCAGTTCTACTCCGAGTCTCTCCCAGATAACTGAACTTCTCACCCTATCTCTTTTTTTTTTTTTTTTTTTTTTTTTTTTTTTTTTTTTTTTTTTTTTTGTGAGCTCAGTTTAAGTGTAGAAACATTGTGAAGTGTTTCAATGAACTTATCATCATCGCTCAATTTTTTTTTTTTTTTTTTTTTTTTTTAAGAAAGAGAAGAAAGAAGAATAAATAAATAATAAAAAAGAAGAAGATAAGACGAGAGACCACCATGACAAAACAACATGCACAGCACAATGCCACCCACAATATCACCATGAAACATTCGACATCGCACAATGAATCATCTAGCTTCCGCCACTACCCAACCTAGCGTGCATCTGTCAAAGCACCTGAATCCAAACACCCGCGCAAGCACGCCCACCACCACCAGATTTCTCCAAAAGAATGCCCAATAGTGGACGCGGGGGCCCACAGACCCGCCCCCCCAGGACACAATGGCAACATAGGGAGGACCGGAGCCACAGACACACAGCGGCCCACAGGCCCGGAGCCCCAAGAGTCTCCCAACAGGGAGAACCGCACCCCCCCAGAGAGGAGCAGAGGAAAGAACCGGGTGACCCCAGCCACCACAATGCAGAGCCTCCAGGAAGCTGCAACGACGAGCCCACAGGCCCGGCCAGCGACCCATGCCCCCCCCAAGTAGATCCGGCCATGGACACCGAGCCCCAAGCCCCGAGGCCATACCACCCCCTAGCAGAGCCCCGACAGAGCCAGGGCACCCAGGCCCCGCCAGGCAGCAACCAGGGCGGACCGACGTGCACCCCACCACCCAGCCCAGACACCGAGAGCCACCAATGCACCGGCGGCAAGGGAGTCCCCCACCAAAGGGGGGCACGACCGGGGGGAGTGGACCCCACACCAAACGTGGGGCCCAAATTGATCCCAGAGAGGGGGGACCACCAAAAACCCAACCCGAGCAACCAACAGGCACACACAGATAGCCCGACAGAATCTCTGTCGGGCCGACCGCATGCACCATCTACCTGACAGCGACCACAGGCCGGCCCCAGCCCAAGGGGCAGAGCAGCAGGGAGCCGCAGCCGAGGAGTGCCGGCTCTCACATCAAGAGCTCCGCACCATAGGCCCGGAGACGCCCCAGCACGCCACCCATGCACCCCCCCACACACACAGCACCCCCACTGCAAATGCCACACAGGAAAAAACAGGTCTTTTTTCTCACCCTATCTCTAAGGGAGAGTCCAGCTACCCTGCGGAGGAAATTCATTTCAACCGCCTGTATCCTCGATCTCATTCTTTCAGTCACTACCCAGAGCTCATGACCATAGGTGAGGGTAGGAATGTAGACCGGCCAGTAAACAGAGAGCTTTGACTTACAGCTCAGCTCTCTCTTCACCACAATGGACCGGTACAGAGTCTGCAATACTGCAGATGCTGCACCAATCCATTTGTCAAGCTCACGTTCCATTCTTCCCTCACTTATGAACAAAATCCCGAGATACTTGAACTCCTCCACTTGAGGCAGAACCTTACCCTCGACCTGAAGAGAGCAATCCATCCTTTTCCGGTTGAGGACCATTGAATTCATGATTTATTACCATGCAGAAATATACTGAGAAAGCTTTTGTTATAACATGATGCTGCTTTGACAAATACTCTGAAAATACAGTAATTTGCTGACGGTCCCTAAGCAAACCATTGCTCCTCGGAGTGATGGACAGAACAGCTGAAGGAAATCAGATTGCCTGTGTTGGCTCGAACGAGGAACTCGTAGCATGAACGTGAAATATCCAACGTCAAACTAATTTTACCACTGTAGCACACACTGGATATCTTTATATTTAAGTCTGATTTCAAAATTCAATTCAATTCAGTTTATTTATATAGCGCCAAGTCACAAACTCCTGCATGAACCTCAAATATGGGTGTCTGTTCCATTGTTGCTGTTGTCTGTGAAGTAACACTACATTCAGTACAGTATTGCGAGGGAATGCAAAACTTTTGCGTGGGAACGCAAAAGAAAAAAAAACCCACGTCCCCTCCGGGGCTCCGTAAGAGACGGAGCACGGATGAAATTATAAAGAAACAAAGAGGTTAAAGTGTGTGGAAAGAAGTGCTGTTTGTGTGATATTACCGAGTAAACCGCGAACATTAACGGAGCTGGATAACTTTACTTGTAAAGTTTACTTTGTTTACTGTGGAAACTCTGATGATGGTGAGTGATGTTCATTCATTCTTTAACCTTTATTTATACAGGTTAGTCTCATTGAGTCACGAGGACTCATTTACAAGAGAGACCTGTTTCAAACAAAGAACACATCAATGATGAGTGAAGCTAACAGCTAGCAAGGCTGTCAGCTAGTAGGGCAGTTGGTTAGCAAGTTGGCTATATTAGCATTAGCACAGTAAAATGTTAGTTAAAACCAGTCGGAGTATTTTGGACATTTTTCATGCTGAATTAATGTTTAGTTAAAATGTGTTCATGAGTTAATTGTTTCATATTTAAATTTTTCAAAATGAATACATGATTTAAAAAAGATTTTACGGGATGATCTGCATGTTCTAATTTTCTAATGAGTGACGATTTGATAACATTCATGTCTAAAACAGTTGAAATAATTACATGGAGAGGTTATCTCTTCTTGTAGGTTAAAAAATGTAAACTCTGCAGTGACTGAACATATTTCATTCGTGATGATTTGATATGTGTAGATGGTAATCAAGTTTTTATTTTTTTTGTTTTGTTTCTGCTGTCATGTGTAGACTTTTTTTTTTCTGGAGACCCATCAGTTGACTGAAGTTTTGTGATGGCAAGTCAGACTCATGGACAACAATGAAGATTTCTGCTACTAGACTGGCCAGCTGCTGCAGGGATCTACTGTGAACTCTTCTTGGGACTTTCAGGATTTTTCCAGCTAAGGAATTATACAATCACTCATACCTACCCAGGTAGTGTACTTAAGAGACACGAATGTCAGAAGCACAATAAGAAAAAAGAGGGAGAAAGGAAAAACTTAACTAAGAAACAAGGGTTTGGAACCAATTTATTCCCTTGGTATTTTTATTTTAAATTTCATCCTTTTGGTGTTATAGTTTTGTTTTTTTGTTTGTTTTTTACAAGAAGAGCTCTATTTTATTTGGGGATTTGTGTTATTTTTTTGTCACTGCAGCAGTGAAACAAAATGTATATATGTTGTTCTGTGTTATGGCAATAAAGCTGTCGGCTTACTACTAACTATATTCTTTATTTTCTCCTCAGAACCTAGGTCTTATTAGCATTTACCAATTACAATATTTAACACAAGTGCTACATAAAATTTGGCGAGCCAGCCAGGAGGAGTGGCTGAAATTCTGAAACAATCTTGACAGATTTGTTACAATAAGATTACAGTATGGATGTCATAAAGGCACAGAGCATCAAGTGCCAAATTCAATTTTGGTTAATGGATTAACAGGCACAGAGGTAGATGAGGATTTATTGGAGTTCTTTCAGGAATACAGTTCCATTTCAAGAGTGGTATCCATCGATATTTCTGACCCTGACTTTAACAACACAACCATGGTCGAGTTTCAGTTTGGTACAGCTATAGAGGTACTCCAGGTAGACTTGCCATGCCAAAAAAGTACCTCTGACCCTAAAATCACCCACAAACTCCAACTTTTGTCAACTTTCTACACCTCTAA